GGGGCCTCTCTCTGGCGGCCTTGCGGGACCGGAAGGCCAGCCTGGGCGTCCCGGACCAGGGACGGTCCCGAGGGCCTCCCTGCCGGCGGAATCTCCCTGTCGGGAAGGCCCGGCAGAGCTTTGGGGGGGCCCAGGGCGCGTCTCGCGGCCCCTTGGGCTCCCGGGGTGTAAGGGCGCCCCGCTGCCGTCCTCAGGCCGAGCCGGGGTGCTAGGATGCTCAGGCCGAGACCGAGCGAGGAGGACGGCAGGGCAGGGCCGGGCCTACTTGGACCACGGGGGCCCATGCGGGGCTACCAGCGGGTTTGGGGGGTCCTGCGGTAGGTGGGGTCCATCTGGAACCCCCCCCAAGAAGCCCGCTCCATTTCTGTTGGGAGGCCAGTCGGGATGGCGGCCTGACGCCTCAGGGTGGGGGGCCTGGGAGCCCGCGGGTGATCGACAGCAGGAACTACGGGATCCTTAGGCCTGCGAGGGGTCCCCCGCTCTGCCGGCCGCTCACCTCTCTCCCGTCCGCGCCCAGAACTCCAACGTGGAGAACCTGCCCCCCCACATCATCCGACTGGTGTACAAGGAGGTGACGACGCTGACCGCAGACCCCCCGGATGGCATCAAGGTCTTCCCCAACGAGGAGGACCTCACAGACCTGCAGGTCACCATCGAGGGCCCTGGTGAGTCCCGGATCCCGGAGGGAGGGGCTGCCACCTGGACTGCTCCATCCTGCTCCGGGGCGGGAGGCTCCGAGGTGCCCACCGCAGGCCAGCCCTCTGTTGAGTGGACAGATGGGCACAGCTCTCCTGGCCTGTGGGACAGGACATCACAATTGGCAGGTGTGTGTCATTTTCCCATAAGTGCTGAGGAGCACCTGGAGAGCACTTGACAGGGACCTTGCCTAGATGTGGGGCAGGGCTGTCAGATGTGGCTTCCCTGGACCCGGGGATGGGCAGAGGTTAAGTGGGATGCGGAGGGTTCCAGGCTGTGGGAATAGCACCAGCAAGTGCCTGGGAGTTGGGCCAGGTGCCCTCAAACTGCATCCTGCTGTGGGTGTTGGGCTCTGGGACGTGGCAAGAACAGCCAGAACCGCCAGGCGCAGCACTTGGGGGGAGACAGGTGGCCGCACGTGGTTGTTGAGTTGTGCAGAGCCATACAGAATGTCGTTTCATGCACAGCGCACTTCTGTCATCACCTGGGTTTCACAAAATGAACCATATGTAAGAAGCATGTGTGAAGGAGGGGTCTGGTTCACCGTAACGGTGACAGGCGGTCAGGGAAGCTGCCCTGATGTGGTGACAGCAGGGTCATTAATTCCTGGCTGCACAGTGGGGTTGGGGCCGGCAGATGAGGGCCTGAGGCCAGTGGAGTGGGTGCTTTCCATGAGCAGAGAAGAAAGTTGCTGGTGGAGCCACCAGGGCAGACCTTTCAGGGCTTCTAGGTGACTGAGGAGCGGGGAGGAAGCTGGAAGTGGGGTCCGATTCTAGAGGGGACCTGGGGGGCAGGCGCCCAGACTGCTGATGGCTGGGCGTGGGGGGCAGCCATGGGAGCGTATTCCGACTCAAGCAAGCGGGTGAGTGAAAGCCTTTCATTGAGCAGACTGGTCATTTGCCTGAACAGCCTCTAAGCAGACATCTTCCAGGAAGACAAGGGGACACTCCGGTCTCTGCCTCCTGGAAGGGCTTGTGCTAGGGGAAGTCACTTGGGAGGAAGGAAAAGGGGCGTCCAGGGTAGCGACTAGGGCTTGGTGGTGGCACAGGTTGGGGCTGCAAGATGGACATCTCTTTGAGGTGGGGGGGAGTTCCTGAGGCTCCCCTGGGAACTCGGCCTTTCTTGTTCTCAAGAATCTCCTCCCCCCTAAAAGCCCCCCATCCTGGTGGAGGGGCAGCAGGACACTGCCCCATAACCAGACCGTGGAGGCTGGGTTGGGGTGTTGGGGAGCCTGGCAGTCCTGAGAGCCCTGACCCAGTGCCCCTCCTCCACTCCAGAGGGCACCCCCTATGCTGGAGGTCTGTTCCGCATGAAACTCCTGCTGGGGAAGGACTTCCCTGCCTCCCCACCCAAGGGCTACTTTCTGACTAAGATCTTCCACCCAAACGTGGGCGCCAACGGCGAGATCTGTGTCAACGTGCTCAAGAGGGACTGGACGGCTGAGCTGGGCATCCGACATGTGCTGCTGGTGAGTGCCCACCTGGGGCTGGGGCTGGGCCTGCTTTGGCCATCCTGTGGTGTTAGTTTTTCTAAATCAACTGAGTTTTTTAAGGTTTCCACTTTTAAAAAGTTCAGGTTTCTAGCTTTGGAAAATTCTAGAAGGACTGGCATTGCTGGACCCAGGGCACCAAATACTGTTGTGCAGTGCCCAGGGGTGCCTTGCTCTGCAACAAGTGATGGATTTGTACAGTAGGACAGGAAGAAGTCTGGGGTCTGGTTAGAGGCTTTTTATTTTTGAAGAAATGGTTTACATAACATGATCACGTTCTAGAAGATGCAGATTAGTGGTTTGGTTTTAGGGTTTTTGTTTTTTGAGACAGGGCCTTGCTGGAGTGCAGTGGCACAGTTATAGCTCACTGTAGTGTCAAATTTGGGGGCTCAAGTGATTCTTCCACCTCAGCCTCCCAAGTGGTTGGGACTACAGGTGTGCACTGGCTAATTTTTGTGAAGGTAGCACCTTGCTGTGGTGTCCAGACTGATCTCAGACTTCTGGCCTGGCCTCAAACTGTCCTCCCCAGTTCGTTGGTTTTCCAATAGTAACAGTGTTTGCGCAATCATCACTGGTGTCTTAATTCTAGAATGCCTTCATAAATCAGGGTTTCCTTTGCTCCTCCAAGGACATTTTGCAATGTCAGGAGATACTTTTAGTTGTGACAGCTTAATGGGATGGTACAAGCGTCCAGTGGAGTAGGGGCCAGCTTGCTGCTCAGATTCTGCAGGGCACAGGACAGCCCGCAACAGAGTGGTCCTGATTTTTTTGGACTAAGTTTCTACTGAGACCAGGGCACATGGCAGAGAGGATGGGGAGTTGGGGTTTCCTGCAGGTCACAGGACAGGATTGAGCTCCGAGGTGACAAACTCCAGACCTTTCCTTCCTGCCCACACCACCACCTCCCTGAGGTGTCAGCAGTGGCTGCCAGGGACTTTGGCGTCGAGCTGTGGTCCTGCCAGTTGCTGGCTCTGCATCTGTGCCGGTCACGCTCAGCCAGTGTGGGAGCTGTGGCAAGGGCCAGGCCTCCCCCTCGGGGGTGCAGTGAAACGAACTAGAGCAGGGTCTGTGTCCCTGGTCCCTGTTTCCTATCAATGGTATCGCTGAGCCAAGTGCTGTGCGTGTGTCACAGCTGTCCCTGGGAGCCCCTGTTATTGTCACCTGCTCGGACCAGGCTCGTTGCTTCGCTCCTGGGCATCTTGTAGGGAGCAGTGAGGTGGGGCAGGCACCACAGCTTAGCGGATCTGCTGGGGATGCTAGACCCTGCTGCGCTCAGGCCTCTGCACCCCACTCTGCCCCAGCTAGGACAGCTGGTGGGCGTACTGAGGGACTCGCCCCTGCCTCGACCACCTTTGTGACCCTTAGGCGGCCAGTCGCCCTTACATCCGGGTGCCTTTTCTTCTTGGGCATGGTCCTTCCCAGCCAGAGTCCCATGACTCTGAGCTTGGAATCCTGTTACTGCCAGTGACCGGTCAGATTTATGCTGCACCTGGGAAGATGGGGGGCTTGGAGTCCAACAGCCCCAGGTGTGAATTCCTCCTGTCCTGAGTGACCTGGGCCAGGCCCTTCCTCTGTCCAGGCCTCGCTCATTGAATGGGGGGGGGGCTCTGAGGTCATGTCGAGGCAAGTTCAGAACCAGACAGGACTCAAGTCCGGGTACCCTCTGAGAGAATTCTGGCTTGTCCCCTCACCCGGCAAGGGTCTCCAAGAGCCAGACCTCGGTTGGGCCCGCGGCTTCGTGTCCTTTTGGAAACGGTCCCCACCAGCTGGGGAAGACTGATGGGCACACAAAGAGAAACGTGTGGGTGGCCCGTGTCCCGCGAGGTGGGAGCGGGGGAGCCAGGGAGCCAGCAGGGTGGCTCCTGACGGCCTCTCCCACAGACCATCAAGTGCCTGCTGATCCACCCCAACCCCGAGTCGGCGCTCAACGAGGAGGCCGGCCGCCTGCTGCTGGAGAACTACGAGGAATACGCGGCCCGCGCGCGCCTGCTCACCGAGATCCA